CCACTTTAAGTATCACTGCCCGCATGTCTGGCCTGGCTTTCTCCTCTGCCAGCCAGAACAGGACCCAACACAGTCTCCATCATTTGTTCTCCTTTATGAAACCTAAGGAGGTTTTCTGAGGATTTTTACATTTGTGTAAAGATCAGAGTAAAAGAAAGAACATGGCAAAGTTCCCTCAAGTGTCCCTTACCTGCTGACCCTGTTGTTAGAATTACAAGCAGAGCTCCCCCCTTATTTCTCTCACCTCCATGCCACTCTAGACTTGTTCTCCAAGGTCTTACCCGCCCCCCTGCATTTCTGGGGGACACCTCTTCCTCTGGGCCTCATAATGGGTGACCCAGCCACATATACCAGAAAAGGTAGTTTTTACGCACTAAAGAGCAAAGCAATATACCCAGACGGCCCTGTCTTCTCCCACCTGCGGAGGCCAGGCAACCTTCTAATACCCAAATAACAAGCATTTAAGCCCCCGGTCCCTGCTGGTCCCTGCTGGCTCTTAAGTCTGGTGTCCCCAAGGCATCTCCCCAACTTCCCCGATCTGCTCCGGGCACCGCTCTCGAGTTAGTTTCCCCAGTGAGAGCCGAGGCATGGCTGTCACACTTGGCAAGTCTCTCCAGAGGGCTGAGGAGTGCAGAAAGAAGGCACAAGGCAGAGGCCGTAAAGCAAAGTGTACACAGGACTCTCTCTCCTTAGCAATTCCCCACCCCCACCCAGCCCACACCCTGTCACAGTGGCCAGCGTATCTCCTCCAGACCAGGCCCAGGAAGCAGGACAACATTCAGGCACCTGAGAGATTCACCCACTAGGACCACAGCCATGCTGGGTACATGGGCTCTGGGAGTCAGACTTCTCCATTCCCAGCCAGCACCTTGCCTTTACTTTTGTAGAGGAAACCGACTCAAAATGAGTTTGGGGAGGTCAGCAGGGCCAGATGGTGCAGGGTGGTGAAGGCACATACAGAGGCCAGCACTGAGCCACCCAGAGTCCCTCCCCACCACCTCCCAGGCTCTTGACACACTGGCCTCCTTCCAATTCCTCCAAAAGGCCAAGTTCTTCCCTGCCTCCAGGTCTTTCCACACGTCACTCAGTGAACTTCCACTCATCCTTCAGATGATAACTGAAATGTCGGGGGCTGTCCCTCCCCCGCCCGCCCCCACCTAAATTACACCCGCCGCATTGCTTCCTTTCATAACCCCCTGTGACAGATCCGTTCAGTTGTCAGATGCTGCCTCTCCGAGGCGCTCGTTCCATGGAAGCAAGGCTCTGTCAGATTTTAAAGTTCACTTGGGTACCTGGGTGGGTCACTGATTAAGGGACCTAATAGTGGAGGCAGGGGACCAGTTGGGAGGACACTGTGGCTGACCACACGGGAGAGGACAACTGCTGGAACCAACATGGCGGCGGTGGAGATGCAGAGAAGTGAATCCTGACGTTAGGACCAGAGGGAGTTGTCCAAGCAAAGGGGTGGGGGTGGGGGTCGGGGTGGGGGAAAGACTCAGTAAGCAGGAACATGGGAAGAAATGGGCTCTTCTCAGGGCCAAAAGGAAATGAATTCACTGTTGCTATGAAGTAGCAACATTCAAATGAGATTTTTCAACGTAATGCCCTCGGATCAAGATATCACATTTCACCTGTAAGTTGAGCCTTAGGTTTCAGATGAGGAAACCAAAACCCAAGGAGGAATGAAGTCACTAGCGCAGGGTCACACTGATGGAGCCAGGATTGCAGGCCATCTACCCAATGGCCTCCACATCCCATGATCTTAAGCCTGTCCTGGAGAGGCTCCCAAACAGAGCACTGGGCCAAGTGTTGGTGGTTTTAGGAGTGTGACCTCTGGAGAGTCCAACCCAGAAGTAACAGGTGCTGACACCTGCCGGCTAAGCTTACCTGCTAGTAACCCCGAGGCTGGCTGTGGCCCAGCTAGTGAGGAGGAGGCGGAGGAGAAAGCCCAGCCAAGGAGAACCCATCACAGCAGAACCTGGCCCTGTGGCCAGTGCATCCACAAGGTGTTTTCTCAGCTGCACAAGGGTGAGCACAGCTTCTTGCTGGCAAAGCTGGTGCCAGAGGGATAATCTTGTTTTCCTCTCCATGTTCTGTCTTGTGTGTTCCTACATCACCCTGTTGGGTGGCTGCTGCACCTGAGACCTCCTTCCACTTGGCCTGTGCTGACCCCATGGGGAGGGTCTCACCTCACGGTGCCACCTCCTCCTTCACAGGGTCTCTTCAGCCTCACTGAGTGGGCCTAGCAGCCCCTCCTCCAGCAGCCTTAGGAACCTTGCTGGTCACTCAAGTGCCAGGCATTGGCATGTGGACTCCACTCTCATTCTTCTGGTTGCAGTCCATCACTGAGCTCTGGGGACTCGTTCAATGCTGGTGTGACCACGGGTGCCTTTGGAGGCTGCCTTCTGCCTGGGCCCCAGATCACCCTGTGCTCTCCTGCCCTTCTTCTAGAGTCAGCATCAGCTCTGGCCACACCATGTGAGTTCCCAGCTGAGCCTCCCCTGCCATCCTGTTCTGCCAGCACCGAAGACCTGCCCCATAGGAGGTTCTGGCATCAGTGTCTATCTTTCCCCATATAGAGTGTGAGCAGCCATTACCAACCAGCTGCTCCCAGTAGTACCTGAGGGACCCTGGTGAGTATGGGAATGACCGTGTGTCCAGGTAGGACCCCCCTGGCTCTCATTGCTCTGGATTTGGAGTGAGAGGTAAGGAGAAGACATATCAGGACCAGGATTGGGGAAAGGGAGGGAAAATTTCATAAGTTCCCTGCCCAGCTCTACCTGGGACAGCTGGACCATGGGTCTGCCCAGGATTGGCCCCTCCTTGGGATCAGGAAGATAAATAAATGTCAGACATGTGCAAGGGGAATACACAGCCAGCAAGCCTGCCAGGCCCCCTGCTCTCCTGCTCCTCCCACGGAAGGGGACACCTTTATAACGCTTTGCAAAGTGGCAAACCCATGTGGTTTCCCCCCGAGGCCCTGCCCCACAGTAGTCAGCCTACCCTAGCTTTTCCCAGGGACAGAAGCACCCAGAGCTGCACCGTCCAGTAAGGGAGCCGCAAGCCACATGTGGCGATGGAGCACTTGAAATGGGGCTAGTCTAAGGTACACAACTCATTTTCTATAATTCATACAAAATGAAATAGCTCATTTAATCATTTGTATATTACAATGAAAATATTTAGGGGTTAAGTAAAAAGTTTAACGTAGTAGTGTCTGTTTCTTTTCACTGTTTCAACGTGGCTACTGGAAATTTAAATTACATATGCAGCTCATGTTATATTCCTACTGGACAACACTGCTCTAGAGTTGGGACTGACCCCCAATCGTCTCCACAGCACAAAGCAAGAAGAAGCATGGACAGGTCAAGCATAAGTACTTTGTGAGCTGCTGGTGGAAAGATAACTTTGATTTTGTTTTCTTGTCTCTTTCAAACACATCAGGAGGAGAGAGCGCAAGAGGCATTCATTTCAAGGATCTCAATCCAGGAGATGGGTGACGGCCTACAACCAGCTCCAAGCAGCAACCGCCTTAGCCCACCCAGAGCACATGTGGTGTGTGGTGCCAGGCTCACCTGTTAGAAGCAGAGCCCTGACCATGTCCAGTTATACTTCAGGCCCCTCCATCGGTTCCTCAGATGAGACCCAGGACCTCACCATGGCATTCAAGGCCCAGTGCAGCTCATCTATTGAGCTTCATCTCACATGCTCCCTGCTCAAAACCCTGTCAGTTCACACTTCTGTTCATTCAACAAACATTTACTGACTACTGCCCATGTGCCAAGCACAGTGCTGGCTGCTGAGGTCATGATGGTTAGCAAAATAGGCATAAACCTGTACCCTTTGGGGACCACATGTCTAGTGGGGGCTAACAGGTAAGTAAATAAGGAAAATTACAGCACATGCAATATGAGCAGTTGTGAAGGAAGCACAGGAACCATGGGTGCACCAAAGAGGCACCTACACCAGACTTGAAGTCAGGGAGGGTTTCCTGGAGGAGGTAACATCTCAGTTAAAGAAGTCCTGTTGGCCAGACTGAGTCTGGGGGTGGTAAATATCCCAGGCAGAGGGAACTCTGGGTTCAAGAACTAACTGGAAGGGCAGAGCAGAGGGCAGAGCATGCTGAACTGAACTACATGCATTCTGGCTGGAGGGCAGGGACCAGTGGCAATTAGTTGGCCTGGTGTGTATGGCAGGGGCTTGTGAGCCCAGTGAAGGAGTGTGGCATTTATCTGAAGTTTATTCTGCAAGTGTTTTAAGCAAGGGAGTTCCTGTTTCCCACAGGAAGTGCCTTTGCCCCTCCTTCCTCTACTCAAATCCTGCCCCCCAGTGGGAGCTGCAGGAGGGGGGGGGGGGGGCGGGCAGACCTGCCATTGTCAGGCACTGGATGTTGTTTTGAAGGAGAATGAGCAGGGGGCTTGTGGGGGCCTCAGCCCAGGGGAAAGTGCCACGGGACTGGGGCTTAGGGACCAGCTATGGAATTTGGGGCCGAGGCTCAGTCTGAGTCCGGATTTGGGATTTGGGGGCTGGATTCAGGAACTGAGGTGAGAGTGGGGTCCAGGACCTAATTCCAGGATTTGCAGCTGAGGTCAGGTCCAAGCTAGATTCAGGGTTGGGTTTTGGAACTGGGACAGGAATTAGATTTGCAAATGAGGCTGGGGGTTGAGATTAGGTTTCAAGACTCAGGGTTGGGGCTAAGATGTGGGGTAAGATCTGGGGTTGGAGCTAGGAGTTCTAGGTAGGGTTTGAAACTGCAGCTGGGGCTGAATCTAAGATGGGGTTGGAGCTGGGGGAACGGGCAGGGCCCAGGCGCGCGGGAAGAGACATTTCTCCTGCGGCCCAGGTCCGGGAATTCTGCTGGAGCCCAACAGCAGCTGACAGAGCCCCTCCCTTCCCAGGAATGCCTCCCCGGAGAAGGAGTGCCGCGTCAGCCAATCAGCTCAAGCCCCGACTAGGCAACACCTGTTGTTGATCTCCTCCCCCACCCCCCCCCTCGCCCACCCCTCCCCGGCTCACCAGGGTGCAGGTTAAGCAGGTGAAGCACCGCCCCGGAAACGGAGCTGGAGCACTCCACCTGCCGGGCTCGGATTGGATCCAGCACTCCCAGTCTTCTCGTGAGTGTCCCTGGGCCCCCCTACCGCCCCCCCCCCCCACCGCCTCCATCTTCTCCCACTGGCTCGTCACCTTTGAGCCTCCACCTCACCCCCAACCTGGCCCCGCGGTCCCAGCGCACCTGTGCAAGCACTTTCGGACCAGTGAAGTCACCGCCCCGGGGAAGGTGGCCCTGACACCAGCGCCCCTCCCACGGCCCCTTATCCATCTCCCTCAGGGGCATTTGCACCTGCCCCTCCTACTGGTTGCGGGGTGGCCCTGCAGAGGGGTTGTGCAGGACTGATGCCTCACCTGGGGTGCAACCCACATACAGCCTTGCAGCCACATTCCGGAAGTGACCCAGCACCTGGGTCCTAAGTCTGTAGCAGGAGTCCCGTCCTGAATTGGAGGAGAGAAGGAACATTGTGTTCTTTTATTCAAAAAGCACACTCTGGGCATCTGTGCGGGCCCCAGAATTCCCACTGAAATTCTGAAATGGAGATATCAAATGACTGGGCCTCGTCCCTCAAGATAAATGTTTTGTCCTCGATTTTAAGATAAGGAGCCTGGGGCTCTAAGAGGTGAAGGCAAGGGAGCTTCCCTGACCCTCCCCCAAAACCCTCTCCTGGTGAATCCACACCCAGCATTTATGGCCTGAACCTGCTGTAACTGAAGCTCCTTGAGGGCAAGGACCCTGGCTGCTTCATTTGCCCAGTCCTGCTGCCTGGCGCCTTCAGGACATGTTAATAAATGAGTAACCACTCTGAGGTCCCTCACCAAGTTCCCATGGTGTAAGGACTGCAGCTGGGGTTCGGGTCCGGAGCCCTTCTTTCCCTTTGCACAACTTTAGAAAAATCTTGGAGGAGGATGATGGGGTGGGGGAGGGGGGGACAGGAGGGTGAAGAGCTGGGGGACAGAAGACCCGTGAAGAGTGGGGTGTTGAAGAGTCGGGAAGCAGTGGGGATGAGGCAGGGAATGGGATGGAGAAATGTGGAGTGATGGCCTCCCTGGGACGTGCATAAGTGAGGAACAAGCATAAGAGGAGGAGCAGGTTTGGGTAAAAGGACGAGCTTGGGTTGGACCTGTTGCATCAGACGTGACTATGGGACATCAGGTGACAGTTGGCTTATGGGTCTGCAGCCCGGGAGGGAGATTGGGATTTGAGGGGCACAGGTGACTCGGGAACCTGCGGCCATGGCTGTGAGATTGGATGGGATGTTAGGGGAAGGCGAGTGTTAGGGATTAGATTCTAACCTGCAGAGAATGAACCACAGCCCTAAGAGAGAATATTCAGGGTCAGGCTGCTGGTTCCAGAAGGGTTAAGTCACCCCCCTCCCTCCCCATCACCCTCCCCCCAGGAGCCAGTGGTGACAGCTGAAGCCATGTGAGTTGGATCCTGAATGAGGCTTTATCTCTGGCTCTTCGTCATCAGCCACCGTCCACCATCCACCATGGCACCAGCTCCCTCGGCCAGCCGGGATGGGACAGGCAACTGAGAGAGCCAGAGAGGTCAGCTGGGGAAGGGGGTTCCCTGGAGGGGTGGGGTGCTTTATAGGGGGAAACTCTCCTGGGGTCATTGGGGAGGCATCCCAAGCAGCAGTGCTGGGGAGGGGGCTTTCCTGGGGGTTGTTCCAGGGGACATGGGAGGATTCCCAGGGATCATCCCCACAGCCCCTAGGAGAGACCATGGGGGGCAGGAGGGCTGGCGAGGTAACAACAGTGATTCTCCCTCACAGATGATGGTGCCTTTGCCCTGGACTGTGAGAGGAATAGGACTTCGGGCTTCCAGCTGCCAAGCAGGTGGTGGGGGCTCCAGGCCATGATCTGCACCCTCTAACCCTGGTGCTGCCCTCTGCCCTGACTTCCACCAGACCCGGCCATGTCGGAAGGAGAGGCGCCTGCCCCGCGGGGCCGGGCGCTGCCCCCAGATGTGCTGGCAGAGCAGGTGGAGCTATGGTGGTCCCAGGAGCCGCGGCGCTCGGCACTCTGCTTTGCCATGGCGGTGGGCCTCGTGGCTGGCTGCGGGGCAGGCGGCGTGGCACTGCTCGCCTCCACCAGCAGTCGCTCGGGCGAGTGGCGGCTGGCAGTGGGCACTGTGCTCTGCCTGCTGGCGCTGTTGGTTCTGGTTAAGCAGCTGATGAGCTCAGCCGTGCAGGACATGAACTGCATACGCCAGCCCCAACATGTGGCCCTGCTGCGCAGCGGCGGCGGTGCCGACGCCCTCGTGGTGCTGCTCAGTGGCCTGGTGCTGCTGGTCACCGGCCTGACGCTGGCCGGGCTGGCCGCCGCCCCAGCCCCTGCCCGGCCGCTGGCCGTCATGCTGTCCGTGGGCATCGCCCTGGCTGCCTCCGGCTCACTCTTGCTCCTGGGCTTGCTGGTGTATCAGGTGGGCGTGAGTGGACACTGCCCTCCCCTGCGCGCAGCTGCCCCCTCCATGCATAGTGACCACAGTGGCAGCGGCAGCATCTTCAGCATCTCAGGACGGCTCTCTGCTGGCCAGCGTCATGAGACCACATCCAGCATCGCCAGCCTCATCTGACCCAGCCGGCGCCCTTGCCACAGCTGCCTCAACCTCATGGACCTGTGCTGGCATGTGAGTGTGTGTGTTTGTGTGACTGTGTGTGTGCACCTCCCCAGGACTGTCCGGCCCTACGGGAAGGTGAGTGTGTGTCTTCTTGGAACTGGGTGTGTGTCCATGGAACTGTCAGAGGCTGCCTATCTGCACTGGGGTCTCCAGGCAGAAAAGTATCTGGGCCCCTGGAGATTCTGGGCTCGCTCCTATTCCCAGCACCCCTCCAAGCCAATCCTGCCCTCTCGCACTCATCAGAGACTTCCCCAGGAGTGACTGCTGCCCACCCCGGAGACCGCACCAGCAAGTCTTCATTTAGGAGAATCACTGGTGGCGGAGTGGGCTCCGGGGCGTGACAGGCCTGCGTTGGAATCCCCCTCGACCACTTCCCAGCTGGGCAACTTGGGCAAGTGACTCGGCTTCTCTGAGCCTCAGTTTTTGAGAATCATGGTTGTGGTCATCAGTTCTGAGGATCGAGTGTATGGAAGGACGGGGTACGTTACAGATGTGCATTAAAAGTGGTGGCTGCTTGTTACTGTCACTGTCTTTACATTCCAGCTCACCTAGAGACCTTCCTTCCCCTCTCTCACACCCACCCCATCCGAGTTCCGTGTCCAAAGCGCCTGCAGGTGTCCTCAGTAAGGCCTGTGGTTCCTCCTCTCAGCTGCTGTGAAGCCGAGGGGAGAGGGGGCGGAGGGGTGCTCAGCTTCGGGAAGATGGTGGGTTTCTGGCCCCAGAGAGGGCAGGGGGTCCTTGCCATTAGCTCACGTGCTGGTTCACGATGAAGCCTCGGGTATTGGGGTTTTGTCAGCTGGTGACTCAGGAGACTGCTGCTCCCTGCCCACCTCTGCAACCGGAGCATCCCGGTCCTGGTCCGTGTCCTCGCTGCACGGGCTGGCCTGACTTCGGGTTCCGGGGCACAGGAGGGCTGTGTGAAACCCCCTTGGGTGCTAAGAGTCACTTCCTGCTTGAGGTCCACCCTGGAAGGGATCTCCCGTCTCTGGTGCGGTCATCAATCTCCACTCCCTGGGTGCCCAGGGCAAAGTTTCACCAGAAGAGCATTTCATCACTTCCTGCTTCACAAGGTGCAGGTTACAGGCAGCACCTCAGCCAGCAGAGAGGTCGGGACCAGACGTGTTCAATGTAGACCTATAAGGGCTCCCACAAGAGAACATTGCTTCCAGCTGCCGAGATCAAGGCAGTCTCCTGGAGACAACACCGAGCTGCTGGATGAGGGCAAGGGTGTTGCCAAGCCAGGGAGAGAGCTGCGGGAGCAGAAGGAATAGGGCAGTGATGGCGAACCTATGACACGCGTGTCAGAGGTGACACGCGAACTCATTTTTTTGGTTGATTTTTCTTTGTTAAATGGCATTTAAATATATAAAATAAATATCAAAAATAGAAGTCTTTGTTTTACTATGGTTGCAAATATCAAAAAATTTCTATATGTGACACGGCACCAGAGTTAAGTTAGGGTTTTTCAAAATGCTGACACGCCGAGCTCAAAAGGTTCGCCATCACTGGAATAGGGCGTGTCCGGGAGCAGCAGATATTTCAAAGGCACCTCGGACCCTCCATATATATATTCAACTTGGAACCCCTCTTCTCGCTCTTAAACTAGCTCCTCCATCTCACCATTCACCCAGCATCCAGGTTGGAACCCTCAGCCAGGCCCAGACAGCACCCTCGCTCTCCCTCACCCCGTGTCCAGCACACACATCAGCTCCTGCGGACTTCCTTTGTAGATGTTCTTGTGATAATCAGACCTCCACACTCATCTCCCACAATCCTCTTCGTCTCGGCCTATTTGTGAAGCAGCCTCTCTACTGTTCTCCCTACTTTTGTTCTTTTCTCCTCTTAAATGCAACTTCCCCTCCCCAACCCCAATATGTACACAAGGGGCCCCAGTGACTGCTAAAACAGAAATGCAGATTACCTTGAGATCCTCCTATGGCCACACCTCTTGCAGGCTAAGGTGCAGACTTTAGCTGATTTGGTCTCTCCCCCCTCGAGTCACCCCGTGAGCCAGACATACTAGACTACTGCTGGGCCTCACCATGTTCTCTCCCTTCTCCCAGCCTCTGTATGTTCTTTCCTTGCCTTCATGTCCTTCTTCAAGACTCACTTCTCTGGGAGTCTTCCCTGACTCTCTCCCCGGAACTAGAGAGTTGCCCCTTTTCTAGCCCAGACACTCAATTGTAGACCAGTCTGCAATTCTTTCTCTGTGCACCTGTCTCCTTAATTGGGTGGTAAACTCCTCCTGGCAGGGTTTGGTCTTCTCACCGGTGTGTCCCTAGTTCCCAGCACAGGCTTGACACCTAGTAGGTGCTTTGTTGGATGGCAATGTGTGTGCAAGGATCAGGGAGAGACCCACCTATAATTGGGAAGGGCAGGGAAGTTAGGCTGCTGTCCACTACTGGCCCGGACTCTCCTGAGGCCCCACACTGCCCGCCCCAGAAATTCTTGCTCTTCCTGGGTTCCCAGGAGGCAGCAAGCATTATCTCAGCTCCTGGGCCATTCGAGGACCACAGGACACCCCTCCATCCTGTAACACGGGGAGGAATCATGTTTCTTTTAGGCTGAGACAGGGCTAGACTCTTCCATAATATTTCTTTTAAGAAACTAAAGGAAAACAGAAAACAGAGGCCCAGAAAATGGGGAGGGGGAGGGTTACATGGCACAGATGTGTGGATGAGCAGCTACTCCAGGCAAGGCCCGTGCCAGGCTCTTCTGGGAAGGAGGCCGCATGAAGAATATGGTTTGTGCCCCCAGATGGCCTACTTCAGACAGCAGTGGGAGTAGACCTCTGCACACCCATCTGGAACATGAGTTGGGAGGGTAAGAGCTGGGTCAAGGCACAGGCAGGGCAGAAATGCTACTGCTTCCTCAATCACTTAAGCCCACCCACAACCTCCCATCTCCAGCCGGTTTGCTCAAAGCATGTCACAAAACCCCATCTTGGTCCACATTACAACCAGCTGGCCACTGGCCCCTCTGCTATCTCTCTAAACTTTAGAGCAGGGGTCCTCAAACTACGGCCTGCGGGCCACATGCAAATACAAATATTGTATTTGTTCCCATTTTGTTTTTTTACTTCAAAATAAGATATGTGCAGTGTGCATAGGAATTTGTTCATAGTTTTTTTTTTAAACTATAGTCCGGCCCTCCAACGGTCTGAGGGACAGTGAACTGGCCCCCTGTTTAAAAAGTTTGAGGACCCCTGCTTTAGAGCCCAAAGCTTCCCCTTCCTGCCCTAGCAGGTTTGGTTCAGTGGGTAGAGTGTCAGCCCACAGATGGAAGGGTCCCAGGTTCGATGCAGGCTCAATTCCCGGCCCCAGGTTGGGGCGGGTGCTGGAGGCAACTAATCAATGTGTCTCTCTCATATCGATGCTTCTGCCTCTTTCCCTTTCTTCCACTCTCTCTAAAATTCAATGGAAGAATATCCTCGGGTGAGGATTAACAAAAAATAAATATAAAGCTGCCCCTTCCTCTCTTTCCTCCCCCTCCCGCCTTTATCTCCTGTCTGGTGATGATTCTTCGACCCGTCATTTCACCCACTCCGTGACAGAGTCCTCAACTCCTTAGCCACCTGCCCCTTTGGTCCCGCTCTCCCAGGAAACCACCTCCATGGACTAATCCACACACTGGCCTTCACTGCACCTGCCGCCCCCCAGGGAGTGGTTATTAGAGAGACCCGCACAGCCAGGCAGCAGGTGTCACCATGAATTCCTCATCACCAGTCTCAGCCGGGTCCGCAATGTAGCTCATCAGTTACAGTTTCCCTCGTCAGCTGTTCTCACAGTGACCCTCAAGTTACCTCCACGCCCTTCACATCCCAGCGTCACCTAACATCACTCTCTGCAGGTGGCTTGACCTTCCACCTCTCGAGACTGAGAGTCCTATGGAAGGAAGCCTTCACATCGCTCCCACCAAATCCCCCCTCCTTGCTCCTGTCCGGACAATGACCTTGGCAGCCCCGCTGAGGAATTTGGACTTTGTCCTCAGGACTCTGAGAAACACAGGACAAATTTAATCAGGGGAGTGAGAGTAGGATTTGGGACGCACTGGCTGCTGTGTGGAACCAGGGTGAGCTCTCCAAGAAAAAGAAGAAGAAGAAGAAATGGCCAAACAGCCCCAGAAGTGATGTCTTCGCTGGCCCTAAGCGGTAGGAAGAGTGCCCCAGAAAGAAGAAATAGCAGAAGAGCCTAGAGCAGGGGTGGGCAAACTTTTTGACTCGAGGGCCACAATGGGTTCTTAAACTGGACCGGAGGGCCGGAACAAAAGCATGGATGGAGTGTTTGTGTGAACTAATATAAATTCAAAGTAAACATCATTACGGTCTTTTTTTTTTTAGTTTTATTCATTTCAAATGGGCCGGATCCGGCCCGCGGGCCGTAGTTTGCCCATGGCTGGCCTAGGGACAAGGGAACTTGGTTCCTTCAAGGAACTACGAAGGGCCCGGCGGTGTGGCTCAGTGGTTGAGCATCGAGTTATGAACCAGAAGGTCACTGTTTGATTCCCCATTAAGGCACATGCCCGATTGCAGGCTCGATCCCCAGTAGGGGGCATGTAGGAGGCAGCCAATCAATGATTCTTATCATTGATATTTCTATCTCTCTCCCTCTCCCTTCTTCTCTGAAATCAATAAAAATATGTTTAAAAAAGAGGAACCACTAAGGGTTTGTGTGGCTGAAACATGGAGCAGTAGCTGGGAAGAGGCGAGGAGTGCTAAGGAGGGGCCCTCGGCCAGTCCCAGGCTTCAGCAGCTCCCTAGCATGTGGCAGTTTCTCAAGGCCAAGAGCAAACCAGTGAAGGGCTGTCAGCAGAGGAATGGCCGGTCAGAACGTGTTTTAGGACAATCATCCTGCTTGCAGCACAGAAACTTCATCCGAAGGGGCCAAAATGGAGGCAAGGAGGGTTGGTTGATTAATGCCATCGTCCAGATGCAAGATGATGAGGGACAGAATGAAACAGAACAGATTCTGTGGATGTTCAGAAGCTGGACTGACAGGTCTTTGTGACTGACTGGAGGGTGGGAGATGTGATGGGTTAAGGTGGATAGAAAGAGTTTTAAGATATAAGGTAGAGAAGAAGCTGCCCTTAAAAGTCCCTGAACAGGAGGCGGGGTGGGGAGGTCCAGGACACAAGATGGAGTATTGGGCTTACAAAGCCATTTTGATGAGAGAAAAGAATGGACACAGGTTACAGTTGTGGGTGTTGTAGCAGGAAATTGAGGGAGGCCTTGACCAATAACTATTGTGTCCGTGAGGCACAGGCCATTTTAAGGAGCTGCTATGGAGAGTGCGAGAGGATGGGACCAAGAAAACAGCGCGATTGCCGAAGCTGTGAGAGCCCATGAGAGGCTGGATGCCCGGCATTAATAGAGACCACAGGCTGGACAATGGTGGGTCTTACTCCACAGTACACAGAGGCCAGGCACCAGGTCCGAGGCCGGAGTTCACCTGGAGTGTGCAATGCTGAGACAATGGCATGTAAGTGGAGGAGACTGGCAAGAGAGGCTGACATATTAC